TGGAGGCAAATGCACATCTAAAATCACAGCCAAGATCAACAAACCTGGAACAGAAGCCACTGAAACCCTAAACTTGAAAGAATAATTTAATGTTGGTTTGGATAAATTGTTGGTGATTGAGTAGGTTCTAATGTGAACACAAGAAATTTAATGTCATTAAATTCTCTTGAAAAAAGAAAAATACCTTCATGGCTCCAAAGAAATAATTGAAGTTTATAATTATTATAAACTAAACCTAGAGAGCTCTATAACAAAGTCCTACTCAACAGGAAAAACCACTCAATCAGAATTTAAGCTCAGTGAGGGGACGGAATTCTCCCACTCTGTCCCTTTCAGTCTTATGTGTCTACTTTTGGAGACCAGTGTCACACAGAGGGATGGGGCAGGGATGTTGTGAAGTATGTGGGAAGAGATTCCCTGTATCCAGGGAAGAGAGTAGGGCTCAGGGAAACAATCTACAGCCCCTGAATACACCTACAAGTTCCAGTTTTTTGAGACAAGTCTGCCAAATGGTGAGAGTTAATTTTAAGACTGTCAAATGGTAATGTTCTCCTGAAACCTTTTTCTGCACCAGCAGGGTACCAATATAATAGCAGATTACAGCAGAATACTGCTGCAAGACACGGATTCCATTTCAACAGAAGTACTTAGAACTAAGTTCAAGTTCCAACAGAAGTAGACAAGCTGATGTGAACCCTACAGCTACAACAAGTATGTGGTACCCTAGTTACTAACAAAATTAACACAAATTCTCACACGAAAAGCCTACCTGCCACAATTCCAAGTACCCATAAAGCAAATGTGACTTTTCTAAAACACTCTCTCCTATTCCAATGTCCTGAAGTTTTTCTCTTGTGTTTTCTTCTAATTGTTTCTCATTTTTTCAGTTCTTATACTTAAATCTATAATTCATTTTGAGTTGAATTTTGTAACTGGTATGAGATAGAAGTCTAAATTTATCCCTTCATACTAATGCAATTTTCCAAACACATTTCATTGAAAAGAATTGCTATTTCTCCAGTGTGTGCTCTTAGCATCTTTGTTGAATATCAGATGTCTGTACATGCATATGTTGGCCTCCAGGCCCTTATTCTGTTAGTTTATGTATGTGTTTTTATGCCATCACCATGCTACAGATATGTAGAAGTCAGGGAATATAATGCCTCTTAATTTCTTCTTTTTTTCTCAAGAAGGTTTTGGCTAGTTCTTTGGCGTTTTTTTTTTTTTTTTTTTTTTTTTTTTTTGGGGGGGGGGTGCGGTTCCATATAAATTTTAGGATTGCTTCTCCAGAATTGTGAAAAATGTTATTGTTATTTGGGGAGAGACTATCTTGATACTGTAGATTGATTATTATAGCATGAACATTTTAACAGTATTGACTTTTCCTTTCTTTGGTATCAGGGATTGAACCTAGGGGCTAACTACTAAGCCACATTCCCAACATTATTTATTTTGAGACAGGTTCTCCCTAAGTTGATTAGGGCCTCCCACACATTGCTGAGGCTGATTTTGAACTTGTGATCCCTGGCCTCAGCCTCCCGAGTCTCTAGGATTACAGACATATGCCACCATGACTAGCAACTATATTGATTTTTTTAATATTTGAATATGGAATGTCTTTGCATTTTTCTGTATCTTCAGTGTCTTCCACCAATGATTTGTAGTTTTCATTGTAGAGGTTTTTCACGTCTTTAGTCAAATTTATTCTTTTTATTGTAACTATTGTAAAATGGGATTGCTTTATTGACTTATACTTCAGATCATTTATTATTGCTGTATAGCAATGCTATTGATTTTTGTTTCATCCAGAGAACTTTCTGAATTCTTTTATTAGTTCTGGTGGATGTTTTGTGTTTTCTATATATGAGTTGTGTCATCAGCAAACAATGATTTCCTCCTCCTCCTCCTCCCCCTTCTCCTCCTCCTCCTCCTCCTCCTCCTCCTCCTCCCCTCCTCCTCCTCCTCCTCCTCCTCTTCCTCCCCATTCTCCTCCTCCCCCTTCTCCTCCTCCTCCTCCCCCTCCTCCTCCTCCCCTTCTTCTTCTTCTCCTCCTCTTCCTCCTCCTCCTCCCCCTTCTTCTTCTCCTCTTCCTCCTCCTTCTTCTTCCCCCCTCCTCCTCCCCCTCCTCCTCCTCCTCCTCCTCCTACTCCTCCTCCTCCTCCTTCTTCTTCTTCTTCTTCTCCAGTTTGGATGATTTTATTTTCTTTGTCTTGCCTGATTGCCCTTCCAGTACTTTCAAATATTAGTTTCAATAAAGTGGTAAAGTGAGCATTCTTCTCTTTTCCCATATCTTAGAGCATGAGCTTTCAGTTTCCCCCACTCAGTACAGGGTTAACTGTTGGTTACTTATTCACAGATTTAAATATGTTGAGGTATATTCTTTCTGTACCTAATTTGTTCAAAATTTTTATCATGAAGTCAGGTTAAATTTTATCAAATGCCTTTGAGTTGTTAGTCAACTTTTTCTCGCCAAAATACCTGACAAGACAAACCTAGAGGAAGGAAAGTTTATTTTGGTTCATGGCTTCAGAGGATCCAGTCCATGGTTAACTGACTCCATTGCTCTGGGGTCCTAAGGTGAGACAGAACATCATGGCGGAAGGAATGATGGAGGAAAATTCCTCAGCTCATGGCTGTCAGAAAGCAAAGAGGTAAAGAGAGAAACAAGTGACAATAGATAGTCCCCAAAGGCACATTGCTAGTGACCTAGCTCCTCCAGTCATGCCCTACCTGCCTACAATTACCACCCATTAGTCCACTCAAATTAATCCATCCATTAGATTAATTCACTGATGAGGTTACAACCCTCATGATCCAGACATTGTCTAAAATCCACACCTCTGTACCTTGTTTCATTGGGATCCAAGCTTTCAACATAAGAGTTTTTGGGTGGAAATTCCAGATCCAAATCATAACACTTTTTCTTAATCTATTGATATGATTTTTGTCTTTCATTTATTGGATGTGTTATTTCAAATAAAATGATTCATGTATATTCAACAATTCTTTCATCCCTGGAATGAAATCCACCTTACCATGTTGAGTAGTCTCTTAATATGCTGTTTGATTTCATTTGTAAGTACTGTATTATTTTACTTATATGTAGAATATTAAAATTTGTTTCAATAGAAATTACAATTATATGGAGATTTCCAGTGGTTGGAGAGACTGGGGAACAGGATAGATAGGAAATGTTGGAACAATGGACAATAAGTTATGATTAGATTGAAGTTCTGTGTGTTACTGAAGTGGAGTGAACACAGTTTATGATTGTGTATTGTAACCTAAAAGCTAAGATACCAAAGTGGTTTTTCCCCCAAAAGAAGTGATAAATATTTGAATAAATTGATACATTTAACCTGATTACACAATATATATATGTATTGGAATACCATGTGTAACCTTATTAATATGTGCCATTTTGTGTCTTTACACATCAGTAAAAAATAATTTAAAAACAAATGACAACAAATAACATATCTAGCATTTAACAACAACGAAAAATACAAGTCAGGGCTGGGGATGTGGCTCAAGGGGTAACGCACTCACCTAGCATGTGCGGGGCACTAGATTCGATTCTCAGCACCACATAAAAATAAAATAAAGATGTTTTGTCCACCAAAAACTAAAAAATAAATATTAAAAAATTCTCTCTCTCTCTCTCTCTCTAAAAAAATACAAGTCATTCAAAAACATTAAAAACACCACATACTGAAGAGAAAAATCAATCATCAGAGCTAGACTCAGATTTAATATGATGTTGAATTAACGGGCTGAGAACCTCAATTTATCTGTGGATATATGTTTATAGATTATTTAACTTATTCTGTTAATAAATCATGTTCTTGGTTTTCTATTGGTGAACTTTCCTTTCATTCTTTAAGTAAAACTCTCTTAGACATGAAGTATTGCCTATTTCATATATTACTGTATTACATTTGTTAAAATATTCCTAAGAATTTGGCATTAATGCTGATGAGAAATATGGACTTATAATTTCTCTGTAGATGACATTACATTTTTTTATTGGAAATTTGTTATCTTCAAAAAATACAATGATGTGTTTCATCTTAGTTTCTGAAAGACAAACTGTTAAGAATTAACCAGTGTAATCATTGTCTCTTAATTTTTTATTATTTATTTTTTATTTTAGCAAAGTTTTTAATCATTTTAATCATTCTATTTCTACATGAGATATAGAACTATTCAGGTATTTATATTTTCTTGAGACATTTTAGTAAATTTAACTTAAGATAATTATGTTTTAGATAAAAATAAAATGGTTTTCACTTTTTTCCTATGACATATTTTACACATACACAAAGATAAATATTACAACAAATACCTTACACCTCTATATTGCTTTTTTCGTGAAAAAAAACATTTAAGCTAAATTTCATTATTATCATAAAAGCCTTTGAACTTTTAGACACAGAATTCTTATATTTTACAGAAGTAGAAAATATAGATATTGGTAACAATTCATTTAATGAAAAGGAGAAAGTGATGGATGAGAAAAAGGCATTTAATAAAAGAAAACAAGAGAAGAAAAGAATGTCAGTAAAGAAAGAAGAAGTTGGAAAAAATAATCATGATGTAAAATATGTCATTTAAGTTCTTATATATAAGAGAAGGATATTGGCATAGTTAATGATGTTATCAATTCATCTCCGTTTATTGTGATAAAACAATGCTCATGACGAATTGATTATGTAAGATAAAGTTTATTATACTATGTCAGATACTGAAAGGCAAACAATTGCAGAAACACAAATGATTCCCCATCCAATACAAAGAGAGATGAAGAACATCGTCACTAAACAACATCACTATTCAAATGCCAGCATCTAGTTCATCTAGTTTTCTTCACATTACAGTCAGAAACCATGTGGTCCAAATAGAAGTTCAGCTATAAAGACAAGATGAGAAAAGCACACAGGTTGTGGAATGAAGTTTTCAAAACAATCAAGGGCAGGCATTGTAAATTTTCAAGTATTTATTCAGAAGTATCCAGAGATCCCGTATTCTCCACTGCATGATGGGCGGCAGCATCCATATCCATAGCTTCTGTAGTCGAAACCATATCCGGGTTCTCCAAAGCCAGAGCCACATCCATATCCATGGCCTCCAAAGCCACAGCCACCTGTCAGTCTGCGGAAGCTGCCATATCCATAGCCTCTGCCATATCCACAGCCATATCCACAGCCATGGCCATAGCCCAGGCCACCAAAGCTTCCAAAGCCGCAGCCCAGGCCTCCATAGTAGCTGCCGTAGTAGTTCATGGTGTCAGGAGTGGTAAGTTGGTTTGGAGTTGTAGAGCAGTTGTGTGAATGCCAGTGTCCAGGGACTCCTTATATACTCTGATGGTGTAGAAAGCCGCACCTCCAAATGCCATCTCCATTAGAACAAATTACTTGAAAACGATGCCAACTACCTTGTTTCCTAACAACCAACCGCTTATGGGTGCAACTAGCTCTTTAAAAATTATGCAATGTGTTTGATGTTCTGCTTTATTTGGATTCCTACAAAAACATTTCAGCTCTAATAAAATACTGTGGTGTTTATATTCTTCGTATATGTTTGAGTTTCTGAGTTTCAAACTCCATAAACAAATCCCTACAGCTTCACATATTCAAATTGCATCACATGAGCTTGCATTTACCCTCTAATTGTACTTTTTTCTTTGACGGTCTATGGTTGCTCATTCTTTTCCAAGCCGAGTTGTGTACCTCCATTCTGCCGAGAATTCGCATGAATTTAATCGTAATTGTTCCCTGAAATGTTCCTCCTGTTTTAAAAATGGCAGTCAGCTACGATACATGTCTTGATACAAAATGCTTTTAAAGTCAGCTGAGAATCACATTTTGTAGTGCAATGGTAATGCTTATTTTTTAAACAGCCACAAAATGATGTCAAAGGAATTTCCCAGGCCTCATGTCTCCTGTAGAGACAGCCTGGTTGGTGGATAATTTGAAAGATTGCTTAGAGAAAGCCTTCCTAATTCTTCGTAAATAACCTTGCCACAAATTTATTCTTATTTTTGATTATAAATTCTATAAAATCATAGAACGATGTAGTTACAGAATTTTAAAAAAATATTAGATGATTGTTTTTTTAAAACAATAAGAAAAGTATAATTTATAGAATCAGAATTATGTGGCAATGATCTTTAGTGGCAAGTAAAGACTAAAACCTAAATGTTTTAATTTTTGGCCTTTGTTCAACAGGTAATTTGAATTAAGAATGTAATTGCAGTTTAGACTGTTGCATGCAGTGGTGCACACCTGTAATTCCAGTAACTCAAGAGGTTGAGACAGGAGGATGAAAAGTTCAAGGTCATTCTCAGCAATTTAGCAAAAACCTGTCTAAAAAAATAAAAAATAAAATAATAGAAAGGACTGGGGATATAGTTCAGTAGTGAACACCCCTGGTCAATTTCCTGTGTGTGTGTGTGTGTGTGTGTGTGTGTACATGAATGAGTGAAGTTAGTAAGGTTAGAAAATTTCTTGTACAATATTCAATTGCCTCATGTTCTGTTTATTCACACTATAATAGTAAAAAATGCATGTGACATAAGACCAGTTAATATTCATATTTAGCTACTTTGATTATTTTAAAGTTCAAATTAATATAATAACACCCAGATTATAGATGACATTTGAGCTTCATTTGTATTTGTTAAATAAGTTTCCCTTATAAGTTTAAGAATAAAATGTAATTGGCTGCTTATATATTTCCATATAGATGGTACTTTGCAACTTATAAATTTAACAGAATTATTAATGATAAATAACTTCTCTACTTCAGCCTACTTCAGTTAAAGGCATTTAGGTTCCATGAAATTTAAGGTAACAGTTTTAAAAGACCATTACCTTTATCACTTCTCATGAGCTAGACAAGTTTTGTAGTGACAGGGTCAATTTTATTATCAAAAATAGTAGATCTCCCTCCTCTGTATGTAAAAAGAGTTAACATCAGCATACTTTAGAGATACATGCATACCCATTTTGGTGTGCAAAATTCACAAGAGCCAAATTATAGAACCAGTCTAGGTGTCTATCAAAAGGCAATAAAGAAAGTGTGGTATATATACATAATGGAGTTCTAACCAGCCATGAAGAATAATGAAAGTATGCCATTTCAGGAAAACAGATGAAACTGGAGAGCATCAGGTTATAGGAAAAAAGCCAGCCTCAGAACAACAGGAGAGAGTGGAGTAGTGGTCACTAGAGACCAGGCAGAGCAGGGAGGGAAGGGTGCAAAGGGTAAACTAAGGGACATCAAGTCACAGAGAGGAAACACCAGTAGTCTTCTGTGGCACTTAGGGTCACTATTGTTACAATTCAAAATAAGTAGAAAAATACACTTTAGTTTTGTTAGTAATCTTAATGAAGTGAAGCATACTACTCATAATTTTATACTTTCTTCATTCTGAAGGAGTCTTATCATGAATATTGATTAATCTAACAAGTCATTTAGAAACATCTGTGGGAGTTACCCGCCTGCTGCAGACAGCATGCGTATCCTTTTAGTGCCGAATCCATGTATTCATTCATTCATTCATTCATTCATTTATTCAATGGGTATTGGCTGAATGGTGACTGTATTTCAGGTACCAGTATACTTATTGCAAAAAAGAAAAACTATCCCAGGAAACTTGCCTCATTGTTGTATGTAAGTAATATAGTATATTGCTATGAGTTGTGCATAAAAAGTGAACTGAAAATAAAATGAACAAGGATCCCTGTTTGGAGATCTTGGCAAGTGTCTCACCAGTGTATAGTTTATAAAATAACCATGGGGTATTAACGTCTTGGAAGATGGGCTAATCCTTCAACTAAACATCTGAGGAGTGCTGTGTATTTCTACTTCTTTTCACCCAAGATGGAGGCATATACTGCTATTCCATTGTCATTTCTGAATATTTTTAAATGAATTGATTGATTACTTTAGTCAGAAACTTCTCTTGTTGCTAAAAACTTTTGCTTTTGAAAACTATTTTTATTCATATTTCCATTTTAATAGCATCTTTTCTTTCCCTTCTACTTTATTAATTTTCCCCTTAGCTATGACCAGTCAAAAATCATATTTTTTAGATTATGTCATGTCTAATCAATTTGTATATTTTCTCCTAGAAATATTCATTAGTCAAAAAAAAAGGTTCAGATATTGTCAGTCGTCAGGCTATACCCTGAGATACACCAGGGAATAAAAACACTGCCTGCCCTGCCATAGGGAATGATAGAAGTGTAAATTTCCACCACATGCCATTTTTGGATTATTCTTTTTGTTTTCATACACTCCATAGTATTTTTGGAACTTTCATATCTATTTAACTTTAGAGGGGATTTTATGTCTTATTATTTCAAAAAAATTGCTTTGCACATACACGTACATACCACCCCACAGGTATGCGCGCACATACACACACATACTCACACACACACACTACTCAAAGAATGTCATGTTGGTGAATATAAATAGTAAAAAGCATCAGCAAATTAATTATACTGTATCTACTCTTTACAGCTGAAAAGTACAAAAAATATTTATAAAACTCTGGAAATTGAACACAAATATGTGGCCATCAACACCCATAAGCCCATCTTTTTTCTTAGTAAGATTTCTCCCTTATCCCCACAGATTTCTGCCAGAAGATGGTTCATCTTTTAAGCACACTTTTATTTCCCCACTATCTCACTCTGGCCCAATCCAGTTATTACAGGAAACAACAACCATCAGGACAGTTCCTGATTTCTCTTCCTCATCAACACACCTATCTACATTGAAATATATTTTAATTTCTCTTTTGAAAAGTGTTTAAAAACCCTATTCTGATTTTTTTTATCTTTCCAAATGTCACCACCACCAGCTAACATTTTCAGTCTTCCCTAATGTTCCCTTCTTGACCAAGAACTTCAAAAATATTCAGTTATCTAAATCAGTAATCCAGATTCATATGTGAGTCAAGGTTTTTTTCCCAATTCCCTTAAATTCTAATTAATTTTGATGTATTCATTAAGTAGATAATACAGAGCATTTATTCTACTTGACTTGTAGAAAAGGTAGCAAAAAGAAAAATCCTCCAATTCCTTGAGACTAATAATTTAATGGAGGAAAGAGATTATAAACAAATATAGACCTAATGTATCCATCTATTCAACATATAAAATATTTGTTAAATGGCCAATAAGGACTAAAGGTTTCTCTAGCCAATGGGAAGAATAAAAGTAGTGACAAAGTAAGGAAAAAATGGAAACTCTTCTCTTCCTGAATGTTATAGTCTAAGAGGAAAGACGGGCAGGGCAGGCTACATGTAGTCTATCAAAGAAACATGTTGTTACAATAGTGATAACTGCAAGGGAGCAAATGTAAAGCATAAGTGAGACATGTGATGACTAATGGTAGGTATTGTATATAGATACATTTGTAGGAAAGATCTGAAAAACGTGGCTTTTGGATAAATCTAGAGGATGAAATAATAGCCATGCGCTGTCTGGGAAAGAGTAGGCCAATCAGAATGAACAGAAAATTCAAATGCCTGGATATAGAGTTCACTGGTCTTCCTTGAGGGTAAATTTGCCTAAAGTAAAATGAATTTAGGGAAGAGGAAATGAAGACTGCATCAAAGACTTAAGATTAAGTAGTTTTGTCTTAAATATTTATACTCTGAGCAGAACTGGTCACACCATACCTACCAGTGTCATAGCAAGGGCTTTGAGTTTACTCTGAATCAGGTGGGCTGGGGTCATTCAGCAGCATGGGAGACTATGCCTGTGCTACACTGCACAGCAGATGTTTCCCAATATTGTCCCTATCCTTACAAGACACACCATGTTTCACCCTGCCATCATATTCATATGATAGACTTGATTCTCATGACTAGGCTATGTGATAAGGCACAGTTGACTCTGGAAAGGGGAATTATCTGGGTGGGACTGACCTAATCAAATGAACCCTTTAGAAGTCAAGTTCCTCTACTTAGTTACAGAAGCAGAAATCATCTGCTGAAACCATGAAGAGGATTTGACAAGTCTCTGCTGGCTTAAAGATGGAGGGGGGGGGGGGGCATGTGACAAGGAATGCAAATGACTTCTAGCTGCTGAGAGTAATGCCTGACTGAAAACCAGCATCTAGATGGGGACTCATTCACAATCATAGCAACTGGATCTTTCCAAACTCCAGAATGCACATAGAAGCCCCAGAGCCTCCAATTAAGAACTCAGACCCACCTACACTTTGATTTCAGTGTAGGATGCTCTGGGCAGACAACGTAGTGATG